CATGCTCGATTATATTTTGTTCTTTATATTTATCCATAATCTCTTTTATTTTAGTGCAATAATTCTCATTTTCATTAGGTTTACATTTTTCTTTTATGAAAATAAAACTGTTATGCATATCATATGAACTTTTGAGATTTTCAAATTCATCAACAGTAACACTTTGATAATCCTTTTCAACTGTGTAACTCATAACATTTATTTTATATATATTTATTAATTCATCATAAAAGTTTTTAATATCTGAGCTTTTTTTCCCCCATTTTAGCTTGTACTTATATAGCCAATAATACAAGTATTTAAAACCTGCTGTGTCTAATGAAGCATCTTTTACTTCATTATATACTTTATTTAAATATGCCAAGGATTGACAGCATATATCTTTAATATTGGAGTTAAAAATATCTGAATATTGAGAAACAATATTATTACACTTATCTTGGTAAGTAATCAATGCTTTTCCTTGATTTACATCATCTATAATTTTTTCACATCTTTGGAATAATAAGTATGTAGACTCATCCTAAAAATAAGAAAATAATCATATTATGATAAAAATTATTTCTTTCTGAATAAATTATTAAAATATATGCGAAAAAACATATACAGAATTATTATAACATTGTACTTTACATTATAATAATTCTAAAATACGTTACATACCCCCATTATAAAATCATTATATGCGTTTACAAATTAATTAAATAATGATATTTAAAAACGTTAATATATCAATTTTTAAAAGTTAATACATAAAATATGAATAAATAATATCCTAATCTTTATAATAACTAGATATTTCATATAAAAAGTATATATACTCATTTTAACATATATATATGCTTTCTAAAATGTTGTAATTATATTTTAAAAAAAATATTACAATGTAATAGTTATTTAAACTTAAAAATATAAAAGGTAAGAAATTTTTTAAGAAAAAAAATCAAATTTATTGTTAAATCATAATACAAAAGTTATACAGTTAGTATTTAAGGCTGAGAATTTAGTAATTCCCTTCTTGTTAAATAATATATATGTTATCTGATTATTAAAAATAATTTTAGGAATATAAATTATTCAAATATAACTTTAAAATAGAGCATATAATAAATATATATATTTTTTTTAAGCTTGTTTTATGAAATAATGCATTTTATAATTATAAATCTATTTTCATTTTATATAACACTATATATAATAAATATTGAATCATTGTATAAACGATGAATATACCTCTTGGCTTAAGATAACCCTATATATATACATATATGTAATACATAAATTATCATTACCAATTCTATATTGTAAGCATTCAATAACCATTCATATAATATATTCTTTGTCAACATTATAAATATCATAAATTTTTAGTAAAATAATTATAGCATAAGTTATAAATTATACAATATTTAATACAATGAAATTTTTTTCTTACTGACATTTTTTTTTCATTTTTTGTTATTTCAATTAGAATTCAATTTTTTAATACTATAAAAGTATACATTCCTTATGAAAGGAACAACACGCGCATTATATCTATGAAATAATAAAATAGTTAATATATTTATTTGAAGAAAGTATTTTATTATTTTGTTATTTATGAAAATACCTATTTTAATATATTAATTGTTAAACATTTCACTTGAATTTATCATTAAAAAACTGAATTTGCGCTATATATGCATATAAAATGTAAATGCTTTCAAGAAAAATATATTATTATACATTATAATATTTAGTTCATTAATGAGAAAGTAATATATTATAATAAATGGGTTTTCTCATATTTTATATAAAAATAAAGGGGTAATTTTTATAGGACACACTAACATTTCCTGATTTTTTATAATACATATATCATAATGATTAAAAATCATTTAATTTTTTTAAGTGTTATTTTCATGCTGTATATCTTATAATATTTATTTTTTTATAAATAAATTTAGTTTTAAGCCTTCATGCATTATTTACCGTATTCCCCACCATATTTATAATAACAGTGAAGCATATAGTAGCATTTTCAAAATTTTATGATAATTATGACTATTAGATATAAATGATTTCATAATGAAGCAACAAATTAACATATTATTAAATATTGACACGACATATAATTATTTATTAGAGTTCAGGTTTTACATTCATGGTTCATTGATAATGATATAGTTTTTAAATTTCACAACTTGGCTTTGAGTCTTCTAGTTTAAATGTTAAAAGTTCAAACATTTCTCTTTTGATACCTGTATTTTGCTTTATAATTTAATTATAAATTGTTTTGTATTCATAAATATATCCTGATTTCATCATAAATTATTTAATATTACTTTTATTATTAACTTAATGAATTATATAAATGATTCTTGCATATTTCAATATAATATTTGATGCTATTAATTTTTAATTCCTTTTTTTATTAATTATTATTGAATTATATATATTATCGTAATATTCTTTAAAGCCTTCTTATTTATAAATATTTTTTTATAATCTATCATGATTTCGTATATTATTATTATATATATATTGAACTAAATATTCTTAGATATACATATTTGAATAACACTTACATTTATTTTTATTTATATAATAGTTGTTAATAACAGAAAATACTTTATAATCTTTATATATAAAGGAAAATGTACATAAATAGTGTCAAAAGTGTTTATATGTTTCTTTTAACTCCATATATATTTTAACGAAACTTATAGCAACTTTTAATCAATGCTATTAAAATATAAGGATTCATTTAAATATATAGTTCTTCTATGACACCATTTCAGAATGTTGTATGTGTATTTCAAGAAATTATATAATATTTATCACTTTTTTTCGCTCTATGTGGTGTTGTGCTTAATATAATTTTTATTAATCTTTTCAATAAAAGAAAAAATTGTTTATTTACATATTTTTGTAATATAATTCCATAATTTAATTAAAAAATTTATTTTACAATAATTGAGTAATTTGTACTATAATAATGTATTAATTTATTCATAATTTTTACATAAACATTTGATGGAATTTTCTTCTACAAAACTTATAACCATGCACATTTTCATGTAATACATTACCATAATACGTTTTAAATTTTTACCTATATATCTATGACATTATAAAGTCTACATATATTTTAGATTCTTCTTATTCCAATATATTTAAAATTAAAAGTAACATTTTAATAATTAAAAGAATTTTTTTAAATATTTTAAATATCTAATTATAGCTAATCCTTAAAATGTTGAATTCATAACAGATATTATAAATAGTAACATGGAAGTTTTAATTCCCTTTTTTCTAGTGCAGCATATAAATCATTTTTTTACATATTAAATAATATGTCATAGTATAATATTATGGAATTTTAAATAAATTCTCATATTAGTGTATATATTCTTTATAATAATGCTTTATATTTTATAAATATATGCATTAATTCCAAAATTTAAAAGCAAATAAAAAATGCATATTAAATATATCAGGAGAAATTATTGATAATATGAGTGTACATATTTTAAATAAATTATTATGTCGTATAACTAATATATTGTATATATGAAATATATACAACATAATACTTAAGTAATGATTATGCTTTAATATTGTTACATAAGTCATTTAAAAACTTTTTTTCATATTATTTATGTGTAGAATTGCACCATTCAGTGCATAATAGCTCCATACTTTAATATAAATAAATGCTTAATATGAACCGTTATTACAAAAAATTGTAAAAATTTAACATTTACAAAAAATAACTTATATTATTTCTTCATAGCATTGGTTTTGATACGTTTATCATGTAATTGTTTATAAATTATTATAAAATAAATAATTTTGCATTATATTAATTAATAATCATTTGGTAATATGGGTAATTCTATATCTGTAGACAAGGATATACGTTCTTATTTGACATTATATCTATAGTTTATATCTGCTACTTTTGAAATTCCATGATATATAAACATAATGTACATAATTTTTACATTATCTTATTAATTTAATTTTTTTCATACATAATAATCTTATTTTTTAGATTGATTTTAAAAATATTTTTCCCAAATATATGGAAGATTATAATAATGTTAAAAATACTATTATAGAGGATAATGAGGATTAAGAGTATTAATAGTGTCAATATTATCAAGAGGATGAAGTGGGTAATGCTAAATATAAAGAATCATACACAAAAATAATTGTTAAAATAGCAAATTCGTATAAGACATTTACTGTTTCTTGTCAACAAATTATCCAATATTTAGGATACATATGAAAGAATTGATCTAATAAAATAAAATCATCATGCAAATATTTGAGCTACAACCTAAAAGATAATCTAAAATTAAGTAATCCATCTTGTTCTGAGGGAAAAAATGTTATGAAATAATTAAAAAGGAGGCAGAAAATGATTGTAAGGATGTATTTGATATACTCAATGTCCATGTTGTTGATATTAGTGATAGTACATGTTACATTATGAAAAAATTAAGAAATTTGTATGATGATAATTTATATTTAAATTATAATCCTAATAATTGTAACTTTGATGTTGAATTCTATAAAAATTATAAGAAGCTTATATTAATAAGTCAAAATAAATATAACAACAGTTTCAATGACGTTTTGAAAAAATTTAATGATGAATATAACTCAAAAATGAAGACATGGCCTGGATGCACAGGCGTCCTTAAAATTCTATATTTCTATTATGGGAGATATGCAGACAAGACTTTTTTAGCTTCATTCCTTGTAATTACTCCCATATCAGTAACTACATTTATTATATATAAGGTTAATAATATATTTATTTTATACAAATTGTATGATATTACAATTTATAAAACAAGCTGTTATACAATTTAAATATCATATGAATACAAAATTCATAAAAATATAAGTTTATTTCATTATTTTCAGTATACTCATTATGGATCTTACATATAACCAATTGTAATGAAGCTAAAGGGATTGTGGCAAAAAAGGAATGGAGCACTTAAATTAAGTGACTCATTTGAAAAAGAATACAAAAATTTAACTCATAAAAATTATACATTATTATATAACACTGTAGAATACTAGTAAAAATATAGGTAGATTTAATGTATACATATTATATTTTATAAGGTTCAGTGTTCAGCTTTAGTGTTTAGCTTTAAGGGTTCAGTTTTTATAATTTAACATATGAAATAAGTATTCATTTTTATCGTCCCTATTTTTTCCTTCCTGTTGTTATATTAATGCTTTGATCAATTTCAACCTCATGATTTACAATTATGTTATAATGATTGATTCAATTTTATTAATATTGTAGTTTGCTTTTATATGCATTAAATAAAAAATATGGACATGGTATGTAAATGATATTATACATTATTTTATTTTTATTATGTTAATATCCCATAATATTATAAAAAAATTTATATTTTTGTATATATTTACCATTACATCTTAAATGAAAATATAATATTATTAGGTATATTGCAGGATAAATTTCATTTTATCATAATTGTGTTCATAGAATTGTTTATATATATATGTATAATTTATTCCTTATAATATTTGTTTTATAGACCATTCCTATGGTATTTTATTGTTTATTAATCAATGATTTTATTTCTATAACATCATA